TTAGAGATTTTTGAATGAGTGCAAATTGTGCAGAATGGCCATGTTATTATACAACTTATGAAGCAACATGCACCCTAAAATGCTTACTTTTCGAGTTATTTGGGGGAAAAACAGAGAAAATTTGCACAAAATAGAGCAAAATTGGTTATATCAGCCATTTTTGCCTCCCGTTCTATGTTAATAACTCGAAAAGTAAGCATTTTAGGGTGCATGTTGCTTCATAAGTTGTATATAAACATGGCCATTCTGCACAATTTGCACTCATTCAAAAATCTCTAAGGTCTTCATAGCCCAATGTACCACATACCCATATTTTTGCATGATTTCTGGAACCGAAAATCAGTTTTTCGCCAATAACTGAAAAAGTAAGCACTTTAAGGCATATGTTTCTTCGTAAGTCATATATAAATATGCCAATTGCGGTTCTTTTGCACTCTATCCAAAGACTCTATCACAATCCTATCAAAAGTTAGTAAAATCGGCCTAGCGCCACGCCCAAAATGGTTTTTGGCGAATTTCTCGAAAAGTAAGGATTTTAGGCAATGTGTTGATCAATAACTCTTATATAAACATGCATATGCGGCTTCGTTTAAGCCTATTTTGAAGTCTCTACAACCTTCAGAAGCAAGGGGTCAGTTACGTTATTGGGTCAATATGGGCGCGGCCCTCCTGGGTTTTGCCCAAAGTAAAAAAAATGTCTCCAACCGAAAATCGTTTATTCATACCTTTGGGAAGGTCTGTGCAAAGTTTCGTGGGTATCTGAAAATTTGCAGGCACATGTCCATAAATGACTGGACTATATGGGCATAATCTTAAGCTGTCTTTTTTTTTTTGTGGTAGAAATTATTCAAACAATATACACATAATATAACAATTACCCTATATAAAATTCAATATACATTCAATAGAAAACCCTTGAACACCCTTTAAGTAGTATAAGTTTGCCAGTTTAAAGAACTGGCTCCAAATTTATATCTAATTCTGCTATTTTTACTGCACTACTACTTTTAAACCCTCTCTCTCCTCTAAGAGCTATGATTGTTGTTCTCAATAGGTCAAATCTTACTCTCTTCCTAATAAATGTCATTGCCTCACTATATCGTTGGCCTGATTTCCTAGATAGTTTATCCACTAACTTCTTGAAGAACTTATTTGCTCCCCTTCCCATACCCCCAGTGGTTGATAGGACTATCGGTGTAAACGTCCCATGTTCGACTTCTACAATCCTTTTATTGTATAAATTCTTTTTCTGTCTCTCATGGCTATTGTACATATAGTGGTTGGAGATCCAAGAGCCTTATTGGAAGGAGCTTGAGCATGAAATACTCTTACATCTAAAAATGCCCTTTCCAATGGGTTCCATACACTCCTAGCACTAACATCTAATCTAGCTCCATCTGCTTTGTTGGCCCCTGCAGGAAGTTCTCTCCCGTTGACAGGAATGAGGAGAGGTTCAGTGGTAACATCTTTACAGCCAGCAGTTTCTAATAGCTCTGCTATCACATCTCTCAATGAATTAGGAATGTATGTGGATGGTGAATAACTCATATTCTCCTCGTGAAGAATCCACTTGATAGCACGCTTTTGGAGGCCCTCCAGCCTACCTTTTTGGGATTTTGTGACCGGACCGGTCTCCATATAACTGTGCAATGCTCAAATTGACTAGCGATTGACTAAAGTGAAAAAAAAGTTTTGTTTTCTTGAGATTCACTTTTCACTTTATAGCCCTTAGCTTCGGTTACTGTCCTATAAGCAAGTTCCAACGTTACCAGCGACCCAGGCTGTAATTTTCATAATTAGGGATTCGGTGGAATGAAAGGCTTAGGTCCCCAGGTAAAAGGACCCCAGGCTATTATGTTCATAAATATAAACATTCGGCGGAATGACAGGCTGAGCGCCGCCCAGTAAAACGTCCGGCAAATAAGTGATAAGGAGGGGGTAGTTTTGGAATCTCAAACAAATCAGGACAGGGGGAGGGAGCGGTTTCTGAAAATTTAGTCTGAAGGTCCGGAAATTTTGACAGAATTAACAAAAAATTTCATTTATTTTAACTTTTTGAATTTTATTTTAACTCTTTGAATTTTATTAACAATGAAATCCAAACTTTTGGGGTAAAGACTTCAATGTAGGGATGGTTTTGAAAATTCGGACACAGCCGAAAATTTGCGATTTTGGCAATCGTTCGAAGTAGATGGCAGGCGCTTCTGGACGCGTGCTACTGCAAGTGGTGGTTTCTGGTTAGAGCAATTCTATACCTCATACTATACATATGCAATGGATTTGGTATCGACCAAGTGTGCGCCTACTTCATGCATATATTATACATCCAGATCTAGTATGCACGCGCTTACTGGGCCGCGCTCAGCCTGTCATTCCGCCAAATCTTTATTCGTTTATGAACATAATAGCCTGGGGTCCCCAGGTAAGCACGCGCCTGCGCATTCCATAATTAAACAGATAAATTTAATATAATATAATAGCGCGGCGCGTTATCGCGCGGACACTTAAAAAAAAACGCATAGCGTCTTACGTAAAGTGTGGCACCGGTGCAACTATTATAGTTGCACCCGTTCTTGCGATCAGAAGCATGTAGGATCAATCTGTGCGAGTTTTGGCGAATTTCTATGTGCCAAACTTAAGATACTACTTCAAACACCAAAAATATAACCACCAATTTGGATTTATTTTCTTGTGTTTGAAGCGATAGACATTTGGCAGTCAGAAACTCGCCCAAACTCGCACAGATTGTTCCTATTTTACATATTATGTAGTTATTTTACTATCTGGAAATTTTAAAGAAAATTGATCAACACGATCTCGAGATAAATGCCTTGGTACCAAATATTTTACCTTGGTACATTTTGGTACAGAAAGTCCAACTCCTTGCAATTTTCCTCTTATTAAGCTATTACCATTATTATTCTACCTTAGCTTAATATTCTAACTTAAGCTATTAAAGTATTAACAACTATAATTGAAACCAATTATCAAGAATTAAGCAAAATAGTAAGGCCAGATATAGATGGGGGAAAGCGTGCCAAAAATATTGAGGAAACATTGCCTCGAGGCGACTCAACACACAGTTTAATTGTCGTCGATCATCGTTGATCAATCAGGCCATACATTCAAATCAGGAGCCTCCGAATATTAATTTGGTTCGTAACACAAATCGTGTCTAAGATATAGCCAAATAAAATGCCTTAATTTCGTCGTGTGAAATAATTAGAGCAGTCACAAATAAGATACAATTAAATGTTCACAAATATGCTTGAATCGTATAATTAAATTATCTTACTCATTAATAATAATTACAGATTGAATATCGAGTCAAATAAGCTACCGAATCATTAAATTATTTAAGTTATTTTACAGAATGAGCAAGAAAAAGTCAGAGAATCAATTTATGTCGACAATCGTTTGCTCCGATGGCAACAATAAGACAATTAAGATTGTAATCATAACTCAAATATATCTATAAATACGAAAATAGATAGAACTCAAAATTATAATTCACCACTAAATCTACTAAGTGAAATGATACTAACAATAATTACTACTTGTTTACTAGATGAAACCGGGAAGTTGGTCGTTTAGCTCCGGACAGTCTATGCAACGTCTATGCAACGTCCGTGCAACAACAAAAGAACCGTCTATGCAACGTCTATGCAACGTCCCTGCACAATGAACACTCTATGCACACTCCCTGCACGGTCAGTCTATGCAACGTCTATGCAACGTCTATGCAACGTCCCTGCACAGTACCATATGAACACCGGCTACTAGCCGGCTACTAGCCGGCTAGTAGCCACTTTTGTAATAACAGCTCCTCAACTTCACATTAACAACCGGCTACTAACCGGCACTTGAAAAGTGGTCACTAGCCGGCTACTAACCGGCTACTAGCCGGCTAGTGACCACAAAGTGGCTACTAACCGGCTACTAAGCGGTCACTAGCCGGCTATTAGCCGAGCTCTAAAGCAGACCTATTAGTAGCCAGTTCTAAACCGGCTACTAGCCGGCACTTGAAAAGCGGTCACTAGCCGGCTACTAACCGGCTACTAACCGGCTAGTAACCACCAAGTGGCTACTAACCGGCTACTAACCGGTCACTAGCCGGCTCTAAAGCAGACCTATTAGTAGCCGGTTCTAAACCGGCTAGTAGCCACTTGGTGGTTACTAGCCGGTTAGTAGCCGGTTAGTAGCCGGTTAGTAGCCGGCTAGTGACCGCTTTCTAAGTGCCGGCTAGTAGCCGGTTTGGAACCGGCTACTAGTAGGTCTGCTTTAGAGCTCGGCTAATAGCCGGCTAGTGACCGCTTAGTAGCCGGTTAGTAGCCACTTTGTGGTCACTAGCCGGCTAGTAGCCGGTTAGTAGCCGGCTAGTGACCGCTTTCTAAGTGCCGGCTAGTAGCCGGTTTGGAACCGGCTACTAGTAGGTCTGCTTTAGAGCTCGGCTAATAGCCGGCTAGTGACCGCTTAGTAGCCGGTTAGTAGCCACTTTGTGGTCACTAGCCGGCTAGTAGCCGGTTAGTAGCCGGCTAGTGACCACTTTTCAAGTGCCGGTTAGTAGCCGGTTGGTAATGTGAAGTTGAGGAGCTGTTATTACAAAAGTGGCTACTAGCCGGCTAGTAGCCGGTGTTCATATTGTACTGTGCAGGGACGTTGCATAGACGTTGCATAGACGTTGCATAGACGTTGCATAGACTGACCGTGCAGGGAGTGTGCATAGAGTGTTCATTGTGCAGGGACGTTGCATAGACGTTGCATAGACGGTTCTTTTGTTGTTGCATGGACGTTGCATAGACGTTGCATAGACTGTCCGGAGCTAAACGACCAAGTTGCCATGAAACCATATCCGGTATGCATTATTGCAAGTCCAAAATAATGTTGACAGCTAAGCTGGAAAAGAGTTTTCTAAATCTAAAATCTCATCACAAGTTTACACCACGTGACATGACGTCATACCATATTATCACGTGGTAATCACATGACGTCACATCACGGTGGTGTCTAACCCATTCTATCTACTATCACTTCTGTGTCCTCCTCGATCTGCCATATGTCCCGAAGGTTCGCCTTTCAGCTGACCGAGCAGATGTTTTTTCTGCTTTTTCTGATGCGACTTGTCGTGAGACATTTTACTGAAGAATTTTAGACTAGATGATTCAAGTCCTTCCGGGTCCTTTGACGACTTCTTTACGCGATGTTCCGTTTTTTCGTGGATTGTGGCAACCTGGAATAATAAATTTCAGAGGCTAGATTTAAAACTTGTGAAGTTTCCAAGAAAGTTCAACCCTTCCAACAAAAACCAATCAATCCCGTCAAAAAGAAAACATCAGTAAATAGCAACAAATCAAGTTGCTTCCTCTGTTTGTTTACTTAAGATAATGACCTTCTGTTTGTGAGGTTTAAACTTGGCTGAGTTGGGAGTGTAAGCACGTGCTGGTGTGTTCCTGCCTGCTCCTCCTGCGTTGTACACGTGATAAAGTGGACTACTTTCTAACAAATGTTAACGAGTGTATGTTGAGAAGGTCACGTATGGCGGGGGTCAGAATTGTAATCATTTCTTATATTACCATGATATATATTAAGGCCGATGAGAAACATTTATTTCAGAGTTAAATGTCATACCATAAGCACCCATGACGTGTCTAGAAACACGAGTACAGCAATCCGGATCAATAGGATGCGCAGCCATAGTGACACTGGCAAATGTGCCAGGTGGTACCAGCGCGCGAGAGGAAGTGGTACTTCCTGGTCGTGCAGGATGTGCACCCTCAGTGCTGAAATGGTGTGGTTTGTTAGTGTGTTCTGTTATTTGTTATCTCTGAGAGAGACGGCTAGTAACTGCAACATTCACGGTTAAAAATTAGTTATCTTCTTATCGTTTTCTCCTTATTGATTGATTAATTTCATGATGAAATTTGTTGCTTATCCTACAGTAACCTTTGTTAAATGTACCCTACCCGAAGGAATATGTGCCACATTAGACTATAGATCAAATAGTTACGTTACATCGCTGTGGTTTATAATTATGAAGGAGCTACACAAAATGAGGCATAACTAATTGCTTAACAACTGTTCAATGCCAGTAATTAGGCTTTTGTTCACACTCACCCCCCTTTAGTAAGCTGAGAGAGCGAATAACACAGCTCCGATATCTGAGATCCTGCAGTGTCCACACTATCTGTCCTCTGCATTCCAGACATTCTATCGTACTGTCCTGGAATCCTGGAGTCATGGTAACCACCTCCAGTTTCCCTGACAATGGGGACTGAGTTGTGGTAGACTTGAGCATGGTCATGTGACACGTGATTGTTGTCACGTGATGTCATGTGGTTCATGGTGGACGAAATGGGCTGGGTGGCTCGCTCCAGAGTGCTGTTTTCTTGTATTCCTGGTCGAGTAGGATCTGGGGAGAGAGGACGGTAAGAATTGTTAGCCTTGTTATCAATACACTTAATTTACATGCAGACTGCAGAGTACACTTATTTAATCATTGTGAATTTAGTTCTGGTGTTTTAAATAGCTTAATTTATAGTATTCTGTAATTTTTTTAATAAATACCTGTGGAAAGATGCGAATAGTCCATCGATTTTGTTGGAACAACTAAACTTCTTCTGTGTTCGTTATGACGATTTACTCCTGAAACAAATCATCAATAGATTTGGAATCTTTAATTCGGGAATCAAATAAAAAAACACGAAGAAAAGTAAAACCAAAATCCAAAGGCACACAAGCAGCCAGACAAACATACAGACAGACAGACAGACAGACAGACAGACAGACAGACAGACAGACAGACAGACAGACAGACAGACAGACAGACAGACAGACAGAGCAGCTGGAGTAGCTACTGACCTGGTACGGCTCCTTCCTCATCATTAGCACGCAATATTGTAATACTCTCGTGTCTCACCAGAGGCGGTCTGGCTGGGGTGTCACTTACTTGTGCTACATCTCCCACATTGAACACGTTACCTGGGTTACATTGAACACGTTACCTGGGTTACATTGAACACGTTACCTGGGTTACATTTAACACGTTACCTGGGTTACATTGAACTCGTTACCTGGGTTACCTGGGTTACATTGAACACGTTACCTGGGTTACATTGAACACGTTACCTGGGTTACATTGAACACGTTACCTGGGTTACATTGAACACGTTACCTGGGTTACATTGAACACGTTACCTGGGTTACATTGAACACGTTACCTGGGTTACATTGAACACGTTACCTGGGTTACATTGAACACGTTACCTGGGTTACATTGAACACGTTACCTGGGTTACATTGAACACGTTACCTGGGTTACATTGAACACGTTACCTGGGTTACATTGAACACGTTACCTGGGTTACATTGAACACGTTACCTGGGTTACATTGAACACGTTACCTGGGTTACATTGAACACGTTACCTGGGTTACATTGAACACGTTACCTGGGTTACATTGAACACGTTAACTGGGTTACATTGAACACGTTACCTGGGTCACATTGAACACGTTACCTGGGTTACATTGAACACGTTACCTGGGTTACATTGAACACGTTACCTGGGTTACATTGAACACGTTACCTAGGTTACATTGAACACGTTACCTGGGTTACATTGAACACGTTACCTGGGTTACATTGAACACGTTACCTGGGTTACATTGAACACGTTACCTGGGTTACATTGAACACGTTACCTGGGTTACATTGAACACGTTACCTGGGTTACATTGAACACGTTACCTGGGTTACATTGAACACGTTACCTGGGTTACATTGAACACGTTACCTGGGTTACATTGAACACGTTACCAGGGTTACATAGTTACATTGAACACGTTACCAGGGTTACATTGAACACGTTACCTGGGTTACATTGAACACGTTACCTGGGTTACATTGGACACGTTACCTGGGTTACATTGAACACGTTACCTGGGTTACATTGAACACGTTACCTGGGTTACATTGGACACGTTACCTGGGTTACATTGAACACGTTACCTGGGTTACATTGAACACGTTACCTGGGTTACATTGAACACGTTAACTGGGTTACATTGAACACGTTACCTGGGTCACATTGAACACGTTACCTGGGTTACATTGAACACGTTACCTGGGTTACATTGAACACGTTACCTGGGTTACATTGAACACGTTACCTGGGTTACATTGAACACGTTACCTGGGTTACATTGAACACGTTACCTGGGTTACATTGAACACGTTACCTGGGTTACATTGAACACGTTACCTGGGTTACATTGAACACGTTACCTGGGTTACATTGAACACGTTACCTGGGTTACATTGAACACGTTACCTGGGTTACATTGAACACGTTACCTGGGTTACATTGAACACGTTAACTGGGTTACATTGAACACGTTACCAGGGTTACATAGTTACATTGAACACGTTACCAGGGTTACATTGAACACGTTACCTGGGTTACATTGAACACGTTACCTGGGTTACATTGGACACGTTACCTGGGTTACATTGAACACGTTACCTGGGTTACATTGAACACGTTACCTGGGTTACATTGAACACGTTACCTGGGTTACATTGAACACGTTACCTGGGTTACATTGGACACGTTACCTGGGTTACATTGAACACGTTACCGGGGTTACATTGAACACGTTACCTGGGTTACATTGAACACGTTACCTGGGTTACATTGAACACGTTACCTGGGTTACATTGAACACGTTACCTGGGTTACATTGAACACGGTATCTAGGCTACATCGAATATTCACAATAAAGACAAAGTAGAAGTAGTATATATTATAAAGGGGGGGGGGGGGGGGGTGTCATGTCCGTCTATGTCCGCCTATGTCCTGTCCTTTTTGGATTCTATGAGACAACGGACGTGTTTTTTGGGACATTGGCGGACACGGACGGACATTGGCGGACTCGGACGGACATTGGCGGACTCGGACGGACATTGGCGGACTCGGACGGACATTGGTGGACCCGGACGGACATTGACGGACTTGGATGGACATTGATGGACATTAGCGGACATTGGTGGACATTAGCGGACAAACATTTTGAGGACTGAAGAGTACTGAAGAGTACTGAAGAGTACTGAAGAGTACTGAGGAGGATGGCTGAGAAGGATGGCTGAGGAGGATGGCTGAGGAGGATGACTGAGGAGGATGACTGAGGAGGATGACTGAGAGGGAGAAGAAGGATCAGGAAGACCCAGGAAGAGGAGGAGGAGGAGGACCCAGAAGGAGGACCTAGGAGGAGGAGGAGGAGAACTGAGGAGGATGACTGAGGAGGAGGAGGACTCAGGAGGGGGACTGGGGAGGACTGAGAAGGAGGAGGACTGAGGAGGATGGCTCAGGAGGATGGCTGAGGAGGATGACTGAGAGGGAGGAGGAGGAGGAAGAGGAGGAAGAAGACTGAGGAGGAGGAGGAGAAGGACTGAGGAGGAGAAGGAGGACCCAGGAGAAGGAGGACCCAGGAGGAGGAGGACCCAGGAGGAGGACCCAGGAAAAGGCCCCAGGACAAGGAGGAGGACTGGGGAGGAGGAGAACTGTTGAGGACTGATGAGGAGGACTGAGGACGAGGAGGAAGAGTAGGAGGAGGACTGAGGAGGGGAGGAGGAAGAGGACTGGGGAGGATCAGGATTCAGGAAGAGTAGGAGGAGGAAGCATCTAAATGTTATTTCCATTTTTGTCCGTTTTTGTCCATTTTTTTCCGTTTTTGTCCGCTCTATTTTTTGTCCGTTTTGAAAATATAGGGTACCGAACGGACAAAAATCATGATCCCCCTATAACGAGAAGGAGGACTGAGGAGAACTGAGGAGGAGGAGGAGGACTGAATAGGAGGAGGATAAGGAGGGGGACTGGGAGAGGACTGGGGAGGAGGAGGACTGATGAGAAGGATGAGGAGGAGGACCCAGGAGGAGGAGGACTGAGGACGGAGGAGGAAGAGGAGGAGGAGGACCCAGGAGGAGGAGGACTGAGGAGGACTGAGGAGGATGGCTGAGGAGGATGACTGAGAGGGAAGAGGAGGAGGAGGAGGAGGAGGACTGAGGAGGACTGAGAAGGAGGAGGAGGAGGAGGACTGAATAGGAGGAGGAGGGGGACTGGGGGAGGACTGAGGAGGAGGATGGAGGACTGAGGAGAAGGATGAGGAGGAGGACTGAGGAGGACTGAGGAGGAGGATGAAGAGGAGGAGGAGGACCCAGGAGGAGGACCCAGGAGGAGGACTCAGGAGGAGGAGGAGGACTGGGGAGGAGGAGGACTGTTGAGGACTGATGAGGAGGACTGAGGACGAGGAGGAGCAGTAGGAGGACTGAGGAGGGGAGGAGGAAGAGGACTGAGGAAGATCAGGAAGACCCAGGGGGAGGAGGAGGAAGAGTAGGAGGAGGAAGCATCTAAATGTTATTTCCATTTTTGTCCGTTTTTGTCCATTTTTGTCCGTTTTCGTCCGCTCTATTTTTTGTCCGTTTTGAAAATATAGGGTACTGAACGGACAAAAATCATGATCCCCCTATAACAGCAAAAATTGAACATTTTATTTAGCAATTTAGGTGTCCATTAATGTCCGCCTATGTCCGCCTATGTCCGCCTATGTCCGTCTATGTCCGCCTATGTCCGCCAATGTCCGCCTATGTCCGTCTATGTCCGCCTATGTCCGCCTATGTCCTGTCCTTTTTGGATTCTATGAGACAAGCGGACATAGACGGACGTGACACCCCCCCCTATAAACTATTATATTAAGTTATATAAAGTAATTATAATTAATATTTTAATATTCATAAAGTGAATATTAGCGTAAATGTATAACCTACCCACAGTTTAAGAATAGTGATAGTAGTTCACTAAAATAACGGCTGCTATAACTGCATGAATACCCATACAACTTTGATCAAGTAACTCGACCGAATTTTATAATCAGCTTACATTAGAATAATAATATGATAATTGATGTGATTTGAGGAATACCACTGTAAGAAGTGTAGTAATAGCACTGTAAAAAGTGTAGTTAAAGCACTGTAAAAAGTGTAGTAATAGCACTGTAAGAAGTGTAGTAATAGCACTGTAAGAAGTGTAGTAATAGCACTGTAAAAAGTGTAGTAATAGCACTGTGAAAAGTGTAGTTATAGCACTGTAAGAAGTGTAGTAATAGCACTGTAAAAAGTGTAGTAATAAAACTGTAAGAAGTGTAGTAATAGCACTGTAAAAAGTGTAGTTATAGCACTGTAAGAAGTGCAGTTGTAATAGCACTGTAAAAAGTGTAGTAATAGCACTGTAAGAAGTGTAGTAATAGCACTGTAAAAAGTGTAGTAATAGCACTGTGAAAAGTGTAGTTATAGCACTGTAAGAAGTGTAGTAATAGCACTGTAAAAAGTGTAGTAATAAAACTGTAAGAAGTGTAGTAATAGCACTGTAAAAAGTGTAGTTATAGCACTGTAAGAAGTGCAGTAGTAATAGCACTGTAAGAAGTGTAGTAATAGCACTGTAAAAAGTGTAGTAATAGCACTGTGAAAAGTGTAGTTATAGCACTGTAAGAAGTGTAGTAATAGCACTGTAAAAAGTGTAGTAATAAAACTGTAAGAAGTGTAGTAATAGCACTGTAAAAAGTGTAGTTATAGTACTGTAAGAAGTGCAGTAGTAATAGCACTGTAAAAAGTGTAGTAATAGCACTGTAAAAAGTGTAGTAATAAAACTGTAAGAAGTGTAGTAATATAGCACTGTAAAAAGTGTAGTTATAGCACTGTAAAAAGTGTAGTTAAAGCACTGTAAAAAGTGTAGTAATAAAACTGTAAGAAGTGTAGTAATAGCACTGTAAAAAGTGTAGTAATAGCACTGTAAAAAGTGTAGTAATAGCACTGTAAGAAGTGTAGTAATAGCACTGTAAGAAGTGTAGTAATAGCACTGTAAAAAGAGTAGTAATAGCACTGTAAAAAGTGTAGTTATAGCACTGTAAGAAGTGTAGTAATAGCACTGTAAGAAGTGTAGTAATAGCACTGTAAGAAGTGTAGTTATAGCAATGTAAGAAGTGTAGTTATAGCACTGTAAAAAGTGTAGTAATAGCACTGTAAAAAGTGTAGTAATAGCACTGACACACTACACACCACACATCATCATTCACCCCAGACACAATTATACTTCTTTTGTATTCTCATAATATCTGGAATTATCCAGTCATCAGCTGCCCTGTCATTGTTCTCTTCTGCCTCTGGCAGGCTAATCGATCTGTTACTTACAGGCCTAACAAACTCAACACTTTCATTTCAAGTTTAAGTTTTAGTTTGGTGATCACTTTCACTTTCACTTTCACTTAGGTAACGGTCTAAGAACCGGTTTGGTTCAGGGACTCTTTTTAGTTTTTACCCGCTCTGCTCGGTTTCGGCAGAAAAATAAATAATCTCTGTTCGATCGTTATAATCTTATAACATAATTTCATATCCAGTTCACTTAAATGCCTGAGACTTGACTGATTAAAAAGCATTTTGACAACTCCTCATCAAATCCAGTAGAAAAGGAAGATTTTTCTCACTGCAAATTGATAATTCGAATCTGCCATGAGCAATGAGTTGTCAGGTAAAACTGTTAAATGAAATCTCCGCAAAAATCTCCAGATGTTCACTCGAGTCTCAGCCTCTCAAAATCTTTGCAACCAGACATTCACACTAATTCACATTTTCAACAACCAGACATCCACACTATTTCACATTTTCAACAACCAGACATCCACACTATTTCAGATTTTTAACAACCAGACATCCACACTAATTCACATTTTCAATTTCAACAACCCGACATCTACGCGCACGGTATTTCACATTTTCAACAACCAGACATCCACACTATTTCACATTTTCAACAACCAGACATCCACACTATTTCACATTTTCAACAACCAGACATCCACACTTTCTCACATTTTCAACAACCAGACATCGACACTATTTCACATTTTCAACAAAAAGACATCCACACCATTTCACATTTTCAACAACCAGACATCGACACTATTCCACATTTTCAACAACCAGACATTTTACCCAGAATACATTACAACAATGCGACTCATAAATAATACTCCAATCCGGATTTTACACAACCAGACATCCACACCATTTCACATTTTCACCAGCAACTCTAACATTTCATTTTCATTCTAACTACCCAGGTACAGCGAAAAGGCCACAGCGACTACTATACTCTCACACACTCACACAGTCAGACGGTAATCAAGCGGTCACGTAATTTCACTGGACAGCTCTCGTAATCACGCTCTAATCCGGCCAGCTTAGAAATGTTGTATTGGACAGAAAGTGGGTGTGTGTGTGTGTGTGTGTGTGTATGTGTGTGTGTGTAATGAGCTGTAATGAGCAATTTGTAGATGTACAGGGAGATTTATTGTTTTAGCGGCAGAGTAGTGGAGCGTGTTGTGATGCGTGGCTATGGACGTCACGGTGCGTGGCTATGACGTCACGAGATTTAACACGCGTTAATTATTAACCAAGTAGTGTTGTAGTTAACTTTAATAATATACAATCAACTGACTGATTAACTTACTTACTGATTGATTAACCATTTAAAGCGTTAACGAGACTGCAAACCAAGTGACTAACTCACTTATAATCATTAATCACATCGTGAGAGTAAATATCGTGAGATGTAACGTCTGGTCTGAAATAATTAACTAATTGGCAATTAACTAATCAACCAATTATCTGATTAACCAATTAACTTACTGAGATTTCTTCAGCCACAGGAGAGACAGGGTCTTGTGTGGGGGTGTCTTCTGCACGGGGCTGGGCTAACGAGTCCAGTGAAACCGTACTGACCCGGAGCTGGTGTTGTCTCTGCTTCTACCTGAATTATATAATACGTTTATTTAAATGTTTTCTTGTCAGATTGAAACGTTGAATAATTCATTTCCTGATAAGAGCCTTTCCCTTGTCGCATCAACGAGATCAATAGAAATTTACCCAAGAAAACTATTCAACTATGCAACTCATACATAATATTCCAATACGGATCATGATGAGTAAAATTTCGAAATTCGTTCGGACTTTGGATCAATAATGTAAATGATGCGAATATATAATAAGTATGGAAAATATGCGAATTGAGAATGGAAATTATGCGAATAGAAACAATAAACCCACCCTTCCGTTGTGAGAAGCGAGAGATGGAGCAGGTACTTCAGTGTTTATAACCTCTGTGTCCAGAGCTGGGGTACTGTTTGAGGTCCTGACGGAGTATTAGATTGTAAGCTAATAAAGAGCCTATACTGAACACCCTTATAACGCTTATATAATATTATATTATTATACACTCGAGGGCCTGTGCAACAGATAAATAAGTGGCGTATATTATTTGTTATTTGGAATATATTATTTGCGATGTTAATTAGCACATTAAAAAACGCATAAAACAATAACGTTGTTTTGATGAAAAATAAACTAACTTGCAAGATTGATAAGATTTGGCCACATTGGCTGCTGTCGTTACCGAGACCCCCTCCATGGCCGATATTCGGGTCTATTCTTGCTCTTCCACTCCTCATAGCCAAGAGCTGCTTTGTGAATCTTTTCTAAAACCTGTTGTGGTAATGACGTCATGACACGCGGTGTGAGTGACGTGTGACGTCATGACACGTGATGTGACGTCATGACACGTGGTGTGACGTCATGACACGTGGTGTGACGTCATGACACGTGATGTGACGTCATGGCATGTGGTGTGACGTTATGACACGTGGTGTGACGTCATGACTCATGGCACGTGGTGTGGGGTTATGGCACGTGATGTGTTTTATGACACGAGTCATTCAATCATAATATATATAATAATATTATAGTTAGCTAACTACAATTCATTAGTTATCAATTTATTTGATCTTATTGTTGTCACCTTAGGCCTGACCACTGACCAGTGACCATACTCCCTTTATTATAATACTCTACACAATGATGACGATAATGACATACCTTGGGAGCGATAACACAAGATATCTTGTCGAGGATAAACTTAGGAACTTGTCCCCCTGGATCATTCTGTGTAATGTAGTGTACTGAGCACCCTGTATCCGTCTTTTTAACCACATAACCTGAAATAAATATTCGTAAAGGAATGAGGGAGGGAGGGAGGGAGGGAGGGAGGGAGGGAGGGAGGGAGGGAGGGAGGGAGGGAGGGAGGGAGGGAGGGAGGGAGGGAGGGAGGGAGGAGGCTGGGAGGGAGGGATGGAGGGAAGGAGGGAGAGAGGGATGGAGGGAAGGAGGGAGAGAGGGAGAGAGGGAAGGAGGGAGGGAGGGAGGGAGGGAGGGAGGAGGGAGGGAGGGAGGGAGGAAGGGAGGGAGGGAGGGAGGGAGGGAGGGAGGGGAGGGAGGGAGGGAGGGAGGGAGGGAGGGAGGGAGGGAGGGAGGGAGGGAGGGAGGGAGGGAGGGAGGGAGGGAGGGAGGGAGGGAGCTAGGGAGGGAGCTAGAGAGGGAGGGAGGGAGGGAGGGAGGGAGGGAGGGAGGGAGGGAGGGAGGGAGGGAGGGAGGGAGGGAGGGAGGGAGGGAGGGAGGGAGGGAGGGAGGGGAGGGAGGGAGGGAGGGAGGGAGGGAGGGAGGGAGGGAGGGAGGGAGGGATTGTTCACAATAAACTGACTATGATTATTGCGTTGTAGAACAATATAATGTAGAGAATATTGTGGACTACAAAGAATTAGTGTCCGTATACAATTTAGCAATGCAATTACATGCTTCTGTACCGACTCGCTAGGAAATCAAGTGGTTGGAGTGTACATTGTAACTTAGTATTGCAGGTCTGAGTGTACACATTAGCTGTTGTTGTTCACGTGGTGTGACGTCACAGCACGTGGTATTACACGTGGGTTGTGACGTCACATCACGTGATTAGATATGTTTTGTGACGTCATACACGTGGTTTATAAGTATATTACTCGTTCGTGTACCAAATTAGTACAGTTAAATAAAAAGAGAGAATACAAAGTACAAACACAACGATTCAGATCTGTTCTGAATTCCACTAGAATTTCACTAGAAGTAGAATGGAGATAAACATACTTAAATTGCTTTCAAAAATATATAACAGATTAGATCCTAGAAAATTTTTCATTTTAATCATTCGGCCACATTAAAAATAGTCCTATAATATCCACTAATTAGGAACAATTCTTCCAATTTTTGCACCGATGGGACCTCATCTTATACAAGTTCTTTCCTCTCAATGATCAGCCAGGTAGGGTCTAGACTACTGTATTTTTACATAGCTGTACTATTTCTCTGTAGCCAGTAAAGGGACACCTTGAGAGAAGCAGTATATAATACAAGAGACGACACTGTACAGTTACCATGGCAACAGTACTTGAATTTTGTTTATTAATCATTATCTACAAAAACGCTGCATTCTGTCTATTAAACACAATTTACCAGGTGTTAGCCAACATACCAACATACCATTTACAATGTTAGTTGGTACTTTGGTAGCCGAAGTGAGTACTGTAGTCAGTAGTTGTTATAATGTGCACACTGTAACGTATACTATGATATATTCGCAACGTGTCAGTAATTGTTTAATTCCCTGGGGACTCTACAAAGTATGAGGGAGAGTAGCAGCAAGGAAGAAAGACGCGCACTTTCTCTAATTGTTCAGAATATGTAGAATATGTGGTGTAATATAGGGGAAATTTACAAATTATCGTATAATGGAAATTATAATAATGGTAGAGTGAAATAATGAGGACCTGCGCACTTTCTCTTATTGTTCAGAGAGGGGGTTTGGAAAACATGGGATTTAATTTACAAATTAACAATAATAATAATAGCGACTGCCAAGGTTTGACGCCAAGGCAGTCGAGACCTCTTATTGAGACCCTTTATAATAATAATGTTTTATAATATTTATTTGTATAATTTGTGAGTGTTTCTCCCGCTTTTCTTCCCTTGCGCAGCAAGCCCTGTCTCTTGTAAAAACAACCTTGAAAGTTTTGTAGATACACATAGTCTCTACACCTTTACCCTCTGGTCCCTAGGGTCAGCTGATCCCGGGCCAGAGGGAAACTACCGACTGCCAAGGTTTGACGCCTAGGCAGTCGAGACCTCTTATTGAGACCCTTTATAATAATAGCTAGAAATTTATACATCGCTTTATAGCCAAAAAGAACTCAAAATCCAAAGATTCAGTTCAAGCCATCTAAAGCGACTCATGAACCATGTTATCAAATGAGAACATTGACTGATATTGTCTTGTTTAAAAAGAGACTAAAGACTCATATATTTGAAAAATGTTCATATAAGAATCATATAATATCTTTCTCATACAAACCATACTTCATAAAATGCTAAGTTCCTATGTACATGTTCATTTGATAAAGAAGCTGATTCCATACTGAGGGTCCACACTCCACAGTAACTAAAACCTCTCTCAGTTTTACTATAATTTGAGACAGGAGGAAAATTTAGGAGGAAAATATAGTCTTGTTCACTGTTCAGTTCGTAGCACACGTACAGGTTTACTAGTTGAATTGACTTGATCTTCAAATGTAAGGAATTGATCAAATTCAAATAGGACACCTAAACTTTTCACTGTGCGGGATGCCTCCACAGGGTCAGCTGCATTGTCAAGTTGTATTGAATCGACTGGACATGAAGAGTAACTGTTCTTGGTCTGTACTACAAGAGCTTCTGTTTTGTTTTGGTTTAATTTGAGTTTATTTTGGGTCATCCAGCTCTTAATTTCTTGAAAACAACGTGTAATTCTCTCTTCGATTGTTGACAGATCTCGAAATAGTGGGTTAAACTCAATGTAAAGTTGGGTGTCATCTGCGTAGATGTGGATGTTAAATCCATGTCTCTTTGCAATATGATTAAGCTCCTTTGTGTACAGTATAAACAGAATTGGACCTAGAATTGAACCTTGCGGGATTCCAATTCTAAGGAAGCATCTCTTTGTTATTATCGTATTGTGGAAATTATAATAGTAGAGTGGAATAATGGTAGAGTTGAAACTGGTCATGGCGTGCAATGAAATATTGTCCGGCTCGAAATCGAGTAATACTTTGTGTTTCTGTAAAATTCAGTACATTTTGAGAGATAAAATATTATTACTGAATAGTATAATACAGAACAATAACAATCTTAAATTACTCACAACATCAGGCATCAGCTGAGTAATGTCTCATTTATATTTCACGACACTAACTTTTATTAAATTGTGCGGGACCTACAGCGGATACTATAAAGTTGTTAGTTTCAGTTTGTGCGGGACCTACAGCGGATACTATAAAGTTGTTAGTTTCAGTTTGTGCGGTACCTACAGCGGATACTATAAAGTTGTTAGTTTCAGTTTGTGCGGTACCTACAGCGGATACTATAAAGTTGTTAGTTTCAGTTTGTGCGGTACCTACAGCGGATACTATAAAGTTGTTAGTTTCAGTTTGTGCGGGACCTACAGCGGATACTATAAAGTTGTTAGTTTCAGTTTGTGCGGTACCTACAGCGGATACTATAAAGTTGTTAGTTTCAGTTTGTGCGGTACCTACAGCGGATACTATAAAGTTGTTAGTTTTCAGTTTGTATTTATCACAACTGTAAGATACTGTATTTAGTAGTCAGTAACTAGATAAATCAAAGTCCTGTGAGGGCGAGGTTAAATGTTATCAGAATATATACCGTGCAACTCAAACGATATCATCATGTGTTCAATACATTACACATTTAAAACACATGTGTCACATGAGGAAAGTTTGTACATATATTAACTGACACACGTCAACTTGCAGCCACATCATCACAGTGTGGTGTGACGTCATGACACGTGGTGTGACGTCATGACACGCGATGCGACGTCATGACACGTGGTGTACGAGTGACGAGAACTAGCAGCCACATGAGCAGTGGGCACCTTACTCTGCGGATGATAATATTGCAATATCCTCTTAAAATAGAGTGTAAGGGAATATTGCACTATGATATATTATAGATATTATGTAATACTAGAAAGCCCGTGGTCACAGGGAGAAAAGTAATGGTATTCTTTGGTAGTTTGGTTCCAATGGTAGTCAGTTTTTATCGCATCAAAAAATATCCGTCACAACCGAAGATACAGCCGATTAAAATGTAGCTCGCACTAAACACAACGTAATTACTACAAAGCCGATCAAAATGTAGCTGGCAAATCTTTGCACGTGCATGTGCGCGTTTCAACACCATTACCATGGTTAAGTTACTATGCAACTTCCTATTCCTCATCTGATAATTTGCACGGGGGCGGTCGTCCAATTCTTTGGATTATAATATAGACTTATAGATATAATGTGCTCATAAGTTTAGAAAGATAAGCTCTTCCTCAAGGTGCAAGATCATATAATTTGATCTGTTGTAAATTATCGAGGTGACCCACGAGAGGAAGTATTTAGTGGTTACCTCTGTTTAGGGAGACGTTAATCTCAGTTGAGAAAAGTGGCCGTTCCATTTCTTCTACTGATCTGCTTTGAAATCAACTCTCTGCCAGAGCATAAAAAACCTCTCAATCAAAAACCTCTCAATTTAACCAATATCTTTTGTAACGCAGTTTTGCCAAGATTTGCATAAAATTAGTCCTAAAATCAATACAGCGTGACAAAATTAAAAGTGACCAAATAATTTGGATATTCTTTGAGAAACTCATGTCTTGCTCTGCACTTTACAGCATCGACAACATTATCAAGATTGATAGGGATTGATATATATATAAGAGGATATAATGGTCTATGAAAGTTTATTATTGATTTAAAGATGACAACTGCTGGTATTTCAGAAATTTGTTAGATCCTTGTTTGTCCCTAGCTGACGTCGAGTACGTTTTGATCACAAATATGTGTGTAAGAGTGTCCCTAAATTCCTTTGAAAGTCTCCTCTATTTCAACATTGAGTACCAATCAAGCTCCTCAAAAACTTTCAAACAAAGAGGAATAACAATGCCATTACATTTCCAATCTTCACGTCTCTCTGGGATAACCACCTCAGCATCATCGTTGCAAGGCTTAGTTTCAGGAGACAGAGCAAGGTAGCAGTGACAATGTCACTGATTGTCACTGAGTAACATCTACAACTATGCGTGTAA